AAAAATGTCCCGGGACGGGAAGGGCTTGTGCTGTGCCGTGGTTGCAGGCACAACACGGTTGTGGGCACGACGTGGTGGTGGGGTGGGGGGTGTCCCCCTCTTCTGGGGGGCTGCAGCCCACCGGGATGGGGCTGGTGATCCTTGGAGCAGTGGGACGGGGACAGGCAGGTCCCTGCAGGACGGGTGCTGGCCCTCACCCCGCTCTTCCCCCTGTTTTTTTTGCAGGGGAGTGCGGCGAGCTGCGATCCTGCCAGACATGCACCGCCGGCACCGCCTCGCCCAACGGCTCCGCCTGCGTCTGGGTGGGCTGCGGGGCACCCCAAGAGCCAGGTGAGGGGGGCTCAGCCTTGGGGGGGAGAGCCCCAGGCATCCCACAACCCCAGGTGCCCGCAGCCAGCCCTTACCCCGCGCCTCCAGACCAACAGCAGGCGGCTGCGCTCTCCTATGGACCTGTCAAATCCAGCTCAGCACCCTTGGGTGCGTGGCCCCGGCTGCTTTCCCTCAGTCCAGGTGCACCTCGCCTGGCTCAACACGGCTCCATCCTCCAGCTTTAAGCCTGTGGGGTTTTGGTGCCCCCAGCTCCCAGCCATGATGGGTTTGGGGCAGCTCTGGGAACCCTCCACGTGTCCGGGGTGCGGGTGCCGCAGGGCGCAGCGGGTGGGGGCGCAGCGGGTGGTCCCGGGGTCCCGTTGGGAATCTCCTGCTCCCTTTATCCCGCAGAGACCTGGAGCTGCGTGCAGAGAGGGGCGGCAACACGGGGGACGTGTGTGCTCTACAACACCACCGCCCTGTGCCCAGGTAACCCCAAACCCCCAAAAGAGCCCAGCCTTCGGGCTGGGGGAGGAGGATGAAATCCCGGGAGGCGACGTCCCTCGGCACCTCGTCTTCCCCCTTTTTCTCTGTCGCCTCCAGCAGCGCTGAAATCCCCCACCAAAGAGCCCCCACAGCCCCCTAGCAAGGAGCCGGTGACGCATTCGCCACGTGAGTGGGGTTGGGGGGCTGGGGGGGGGCAATTATGGGATGGGACCGGCCTCTTCCCTCTGCGTCCCCTGGGGAGGGGTGAGCGCTGCCCCCCTTTTGGGGTTGCACTGATGGAGGTTACACCGTGGCTGTGCCCACGGGGTGCCAGCCCTGTCCCCATGGTCACAGCTCGGTCCCCGTCCCCCCTTTTTTTTCCCCTTTTTGCCTTGCCGGGGGGGGGCACGGGGAGGACAGCAGCAGGTGAAGGGGCTGGGAGCGGAGGAGCCTCTTCCAGGAAACGGGATCTGGAGGGCACGGGGCTCGCTGCGGCCGTAACCGGAGCCGCTGCCCTCTGAATTATTGATGCCAGCGGGCTGCTGCGGCACGGGAGGGGGCTGAGGGGGGGGCACATCCCTGCCTTTCCTCCCTCGGACCCCCAAAATCCTCCCTCTATCCTTGTTGGGGATGGCTCGGGGGGACGCAGGGGTACCCAAACGCCCCCCCCCACCTTGTTCCCCCTGCCCCCAGGGACCAGCACCACCAGCGCCCCGCTGACCGGCAGCCCCGAATTTCACCCCCCCGGATTTGACACCGCCAGCTTCATCGGCGGCATCGTGCTGGTGCTGAGCGTCCAGGCCGTCGTCTTCTTCATCATCAAGTTCATCAAGTCGAAGGACAGCACCTACCAAACGCTGTAAGGCTCCCGAGCCCCCCCCCCCCCCATAGCCCTGTGCTCCCCTGGGGGGGGGGTCACACCGCCACGTGCCTGGGCTGAGCCCCCCCCTAGAAGCCATAAATTGGGGTCCCGTCTCGCCGTGTCCCGTCTCGCCGCTGAGTGTTGTCTCCCGTGGCTGTTTGTGCGTCCCCTCTTTATTTGGGGGGGGCATTTTTGGGGTTGGGGGGGGGTGGCACGGAGGATTAAACCCGTCTCCTTGTCGGTGTCCTGCCTCCTGTCTGTGCGCTGCTGCCTGGCCCCATCCCACCTCCGACCCCATAGGGAACATGGGGCACCCCGAATCCACCCCACGAGGCTGAGCCAAGGGGGGGGCCGTGCTCTTTCCCCCCCCCCTCACCCCTTTCTCCTGCCCACCCACCGTGGTGCTGAGCCCCTCGGGGGGGCGTCTAACGTGGGGGGGCCGTGCCCCATCTCTCTTTCCTTGCACGCTGCCAGAGAGGACAACCAGTAGGTGCTGGGTGCTGGGTGGGGGCTGCCCCCCCGCGCCCCCACGGCTTCACCCATCCCTCACCCCTCCTTTTTTGGGAGGGGGGGGGGGGCAAAGGGCTCCTTTCGTCTTTCCTGGCCTGCATGAGGGGGGCTTCTCCGCTGGTGTGCTGTGCTCCTGGGGGTGCTGCCCCGGCGGGGGGGGGGGCAGGGGGGTGACCCCAGCCCCGGTCACCTCCGTCCCCATGGAGGTTGGGTGCAGCCCCCGGTCCCCGTGAGCCCCTTTTTGGGATGGGAGCTGTGGTCCTGCTTAGAGAGCACCCAGTAGTGTGCGCCCCGCCCCAGTCCCATGGGTGCCCCCCCTATCCAATGGGTGCGCCCCCCTTGTCCCATGGGTGCCCCCCCTGCCCTCACTGTCCCCAGCCCACCCCTCAGGGCTGGTTTTGGGGTCCCCTTTTCCTCCTGGCTCCATCACCCCAGTGCCTTCACAGCCTGCGGGGTCCCAGCCCCGTGCACCGTGTCCCCAATGTCCCCCCCCCGGTGCCCCCAGCCCCTCTCCGTGCCCCCTGGAGGAGCAGGGCCAGGCCCTTGCTGTGTGCTTTTGCTGTGCCTCTGTGTTGCTGCCGGGGATGGGGGGAGGAACACGTTGAGGGGGGGGGGTCCCTGTGTCCCCCCCCCTTGCCCTCTGTGTGCTGTTTTGGGGAGGGGGGGGTGCGTGCTGTGTGCTGTGGGGTGAGACTTGTAGCTCCGGCTGCCCCCATTAAACTCTGCGAGGTGGTGTCTGTGTGTCCAGCCCCTGTGTCGTGTCCTGGGGGGGTCCTGGGGGGGGTCACGGAGCCTTTTGGGGGGGGGGCATGACTTCAAAAACCCCGTGCCCCCCATCCCTTCCCTGCAGCAGCTCCCATCCACCTGGGTGCGGGACCACCCCATCCCGGGTGGGTGCCGTGGGGTGGGTTCTGGGGCACCCCCTGCTTTGGGGGGGGCCGTGTGTGTGTCCCCCCCCAGGCCCTTTTTTTCTACGTGCCCTTCTCTGTCCCCTGCCCTAGGATCTGAGGCCGGGGCCGTGCTCTCCTCGTCCCCCCGGGGAGGCAGAGAAGAGGCCGGCGCTGCCACGTCCCCGGGACCCTCCCTGCCTGGCCCCCCCCCCTGCACCACAACTATGCAAAGCTGGCCTCTCTGCCCCGGGGGGGGGGGCTTCAGGACCCCCCCTCCATGCCCTGCATGTAGGGGGGCTGGGGCTGGGATGTGCCACCCAAGCCTGCCCCGTGTCCCCGGTGTGGCTGGGGACGTTTTGGGGGTGTTGGTGGCTGCGGTTGTGTCCCCCCCCATGGGGTGCTGGGGTGGGGGGGCCCCTCCAGCTGCAGCCCAGCTTTTGGCCCCCCTCCCGGGCTTATCAGGAAGCCGGGCAGTGGGAGGACACTTGGCCACAGTCACTGGGGGGGGGGTGAGTGCCACCCCAAGCCCCCCACCCCGCACCGGGCAGAGCCTGGGCTGGCGCAGTGGGGGCCGAGACCCAATAAAGGATTTTCCTCCTATTTTTGGTGTCTGTGTCGTGGTTACCCCCCCGTGCACCCCCAATCAGCATCCCACCCTGCGGTGCCCTCTCAGGGTGGGGGACAACCCCCCCCTGGCCCTGGGGAGGCTGCAGGGGTCGGGGGGGGATTTGGGGAAGCGCTGGGCCCATCCCAGCCCCAGCAGAGCGCAGCGGTGGGGAGGGGGCAGCTGTGTGGCCGCATCCAGCCCCCCCCCAAAACCCCGTGCCCCAAATTTGGGGACAAGGAGCCGCGTTTCCATCCCGCAGAGGCCGGGTGGCTGCAGCCTCCTGGGCTCTCTGCCTGTCCCCAAATGCGCTGTGCCCCGTGTCCCCGGGCACCCCACGTCCCCGATCCTCCCTTTTGCCCACGGCTGGGACAGGAGATGGCTGCGCAACGCCCGTCTGTGTCCGTCCGTCTGTCTGTCTGTCTGTACGTCGTCTGCACGGCGGTTTGGCTGGCCGGGCAGCCCTTTGGCCGTGCCGTGGTTTGGCTGCCAGCACAAGGGGTCGGTGGCCCGGCCGGTGGCACCGCAGGGCCGCTGGTCCCCTGTGCCCGTGCCCCTGCTCCGGGTCCCCGTCGTGAGCTGGGGACCTCCTGTACCCGGGGATGTCCGGTGGGGACGTGATGGGGGTGTGATGGGGACACAGCTTGGGGGGTCACGATGGGAGACATGGTGTGGGGGGGGTGATGGGGATGCAGGGGGGACATGGGGACGTGATGGGAGATGTGATGGGAATGCAATGGGGGGGGTGATGGGGTGCAATGGGGATGTGATGGGGACACGATGGGAGAAACGATGGGGACAAGATGTGGGGGATATATGATGGGGACACAATGGGGGCATGATGGGCATGGAATGGGGACACAATTAGGACACAACGGGGACGTGACAGTGTCAGGGACGCAATAAGGACCCAATGGGGACATGGGGGGACTCCCCAGCCCCTTCCCACCCCAGGAACCACACAGCTTCCCTGCAGCCCCACCCCAGCACTCATTGCACCAGCAGCATGGGGGGGAAGGAACCGGCCCCTCCCCCCCCCCCCGGGGCCCTGCTGCTTCCCCTTTTCCCCCGTGCTCGTTTTGCAACCGGTGCCCATCGGAGGAGGGGGGGCAGCAGCGGGGGGGGCAGCTCCGGGTGCTCCGGGGGGTCCATGCACCCCATCCCCATCCCCATCCCCATCCCCATCCCCATCCCCATCCCCATCCCCATCCCCATCCCCATCCCCATCCCCTCCCCTCCCACCCCACGCCCCGGGGCCGGGCGCGGTTCCCGTTGAGTCAGGGCCGGGCCGGGCGGGGGCGGGGGCGGCTCCCGGTGCCCGGGGCGGGGCGGTTCGGGACGGGGCCCGGGGCGCGGGGCGGAGCGGAGCCGGTGCGGGACAGCGCGGAGAGGAGCCGGACGGGAAGGAAGGGCCGGGGGGGTAAGGGACGGCCCCGTACGGGACACCCCGGTTAGGGACACCCCCGGTAGGGTCACCCCGGTTAGGGTCACCCCCGTAGGGGCACCCCCGGTAGGGTCACCCCGGTTAGGGTCACCCCGGTTAGGGGCACCCCAGTAGGGTCACCCCCGTAGGGGCACCCCCGGTTAGGGTCACCCCGGTAGGGTTACCCCGGTTAGGGTCACCCAGGTAGGGGCACCCCCATTAGGGTCACCCCGTTTAGGGTCACCCAGGTAGGGGCACCCCAGTAGGGTCACCCCCGTAGGGGCACCCCCGGTAAGGGACCCCCCCCGGTAGGGGCACCCCCAGTTAGTTACACCCCGGTAGGGGCTCCCCCATAGGGTCACCCCCGGTTAGGGTCACCCTGGTTAGGGTCACCCCAGTAAGGGACCCCCCGGTAAGGGACCCCCCGGTTAGGGTCACCCCCATAGGGGCACCCCGGTTAGTTACGCCCCTGTAGGGTCTCCCCTTTGCTCGGTGCCGGTTTCCCCAGCGCCGGGTGCGCGTGTTCCCAGTGCAAGGCACGGGATTTCCCAGTAGGGTGCGGGGTGGCGGGGTGCGGGACGGCCCGGAGGGGAGCGGGGCAGCTCGGTGCAGCTCGGTGCAGGGTGCAGGCTGTCCCAGTAGGGTGCAGGCTGTCCCAGTAGGGACCAGGGAAGCTCGGTGCAGGGTGTAGGACATGCTGGTGCAGGGTGCCGGCTGTCCCAGTAAGGACTGGGGCAGCTCAGTGCAGGGTACCGGCTGTCCCAGTGCACAGCACACGCTGTCCCAGTAGGGAACGGGGAAACTGGGCGCACGGTGTCCTGGTGCAGTGTGCAGGGCGGCCCAGTAGGGTGCAGGGCAGCCCAGTAGGGTGCCGGAAAACCCAGTGCAGGGCGCACACTATCCCAGTAAGGAAGGGACAGCCCAGTGCAGGGTTCACACTATCCCAGTAAGGAAAGGCCAGCTCAGTGCAGCGCACACACTATCCCAGTAAGGATCAGGCCAGCCCAGTGCAGTGCACACCCTATCCCAGTAAGGATCAGAACAGCCCAGTGCAGGGCGCACACTATCCCAGTAAGGATCAGAACAGCCCAGTGCAGGGTTCACGCTATCCCAGTAGGGATCAGAACAGCCCAGTGCAGGGCGCACACTATCCCAGTAAGGAACAGGACAGCCCAGTGCAGGGTTCACGCTATCCCAGTAAGGATCAGTACAGCCCGGCGCAGGGCGCACACCATCCCAGTAAAGACCTGGCCAGCCCAGTGCAACGCACCCACCATCCCAGTAAGAAAAGACCACCCCAGTGCACACCACACCCTACCCCAGTGCTCACCAGCCCCCCCCAAAGCCCTGCCCCCCGTGTCCCAACCATGGAAGCCCCGGGTCCCCCCCCGGCCCCCGCTGCTGGGAGCTGCTGGCAGGACCCTCTGGCGGTGGCGGGCACTGCGGGCCGCCCGGTGTGCGGGGGGCGGCGGCGGGCGCTGCGGGTGGTGTGCGTGGTGGGCCGCGAGCCCCCCGCCTGCCCCGCGCTGCGCTCCCTGCGCGACGCCTGCCGCGAGCTGCGCGCCCGCCTGCACCCCCTGCCCTTCGACACCCTGGCGCTGGGAGACACCGGCACGCTGGAGCGCTTCTACAACGCCGGTGAGGATGCCGCCCCGCTCGGTTTTTTTATCCCCGTCCCTCTCGTCCTGCGTCACCGGGAGCATCCCGCCCACCTGGGGAAGTTTTGGGGCTGAGCGATTTTATTTATTCGGTTTTTTTTGCATCCCCGCGGCTCCCGGCAGAGTTGGTTTTTCTGCTTTCCTCCCCTGCGTTTCCCCGGCCGGCTGGGAATTTGCCCAGATGTCTCCCTCTCGCAGCACGTGGGGCATCTGAAAGGGCGTTTTGGGGTTTGCCCAGGGCTCAGCCCTGAGGTGCCCCCCCCATGAGGGGCTCCCCCCGTGCTCCCCAGGCTCGGGCTGAGCCATACGAGCACCAGGGGGTCTCCAGGGTGCTCTGCTGGCTGCCCGTGCCTCAGTTTCCCCAGCGCTGCTGTCACCCTGGAGAGGTGGCTGGGTCCCCGCTGAGGGATCCATGGGTTTGGGGTCCCCGTCACCCCACTGTCCCCTCTGTCCCCTCCGTCCTGCAGACGTGGCCGTGGTGGAGCTGAGCGACGCCGTCTGCCAGCCCTCGCTCTTCTACCACCTGGGCGTGCGGGAGAGCTTCAACATGCCCCACAACGTGCTGCTGTGCTGCCACAGCGCCCTGCCCAGCCTCCAGGCCCTACAGGTGAGCGGGGACGGCCCCGGTGGCCTGCGGGTCCGGGATGAAAACGGGCCAGGGGCTTGGGCACCCGTGCCCCCCAGGAGGCGAAGCTCCATCCATCCCCTTCCCGAACCCGGCTGAGTCCCCAGGGTCACCCCCAGCTCTGGCAGAGGTTTCCCTGTGCCCAAAAGGGGATGAGGAGGGGGTTATCGGGACCCCCAGGGTGTCTCAAAGCAGGATCCCATCCCGATCCTGCTGGGAACACCAGGACAGGCGCCTGCCCTGGGAAAAAAAAAAAAAACAGTTCCTTGGAAGTGAGTGGGGACGGCGGGGAGGTTCCTCATCGCTCGGAAAAAATGCAGGCGGGAGCACATCCAAATTGTCCCCAAATGTCACCCTGACCCCGGGGAGCCAGCACACCCCGTTCAGAGCCCCCTTTCCGCACAGTGGGGCAGGAGGAGAAGCCCCCTGCCCTGGGGGGGGGTCTGCAGGGGGTCGGGGGCACCCGGTGTCCCTCGTGTCCCTCGCCACGGCTGGCTGCTTGCCAGGTGACGCTGGGCTCTGAGCCTGAAATCAGCTGATTTCTTCTGCGCCGGAGCTCATTAAGCCCTCCCTCTCCCCCCTCCCTCTCTCTCCCCCCAGGAGGACATCTGCCAGAAGAACTCGGTACGGTTTTTACAGTTTTCCCCTGGCCTTGCTGCTGCCGCAGTGTCTGGGGGGGGTTTCAAGCCCCTCCCTGGTGGCCTCAGCGGGTGGGCACTGCGCAGGGGGAGCGAGGTGTGCCCCTAAATCCGAGTTACGCACAGGGAACGGCAGCGTGGGGGAGCGCAGCTGGATTTGGGGAGCGTTCACTCTGGAGCGTAATGATGGCTGTGATAACACGGGCTGCGTGGATGAGGCTGGGTGGCAAATTTGGGGAGAGGGGGCTGATTTGGGACCGGCACGGCCCCTCACCCCTTCTCCCCCTCCCAGGACCTCTGTGGCACCTACACCTTCATCCCCTACACCGTGACCACCCAGAACAAGGTTGTCTGCTGCGACGCCGGGGCCATGAAGTGCCTGGCCGAGCTTTTCCAGCCCAGTTTTGGCACCGAGCCCTTCTTCACCCCGCTGGCGGCGCGGCTCGTCAGGCTGCTGGAGGGGGTCCCCACCAACTCCTGGTATGGCCGTGCCCCCCCCCGGGGATGTCCCAGTCCCGATGCCCCCGTGGGCTGGCAGCGCTCGGAGGGGAATTGCCACCACCCTGATCCCCATCGGGGGCAAACCCTCCTGGCTGGTTGTGTGTGTCGGGGTCATGCTCAGCCCTATGTCTGTGTCCTCCCACCCCAAAAACAACCCCACAGCGGCTATTTTCGGGAGACGATCCGGCGCGACATCCGCCGGGCGCGGGAGATGTTCCGGGGCGAGCAGCTGAGCCGGGAGCTGGCCCGCATCCAGCAGCGCCTGGACAGCGTGGAGCTGCTCAGCCTGGACATCATCGTCAACCTCCTCCTCTCCTACCGCGACGTGCAGGTGGGGATTTAGGGCTGGGGGGGGTCCCGGGATGGCAATGACACCCCTGGAAGCACGCTCTGCAGCCTCCCCTTGCTTGTTGGAGCTGGCAAACCCCCAAAAGTTGGCTGTTTGGGGCGAGCATCACCCTTGGTCTCCCCCCACTGCTATTCCACCCCCAGGATTACGACTCCATCATCTCGCTGGTGGAGACCCTGCGGGCCCTGCCGACCTGCGACGTGGCCGAGCAGCCCAACGTGCGCTTCCACTACGCCTTCGCCCTCAGCCGGTGCGTGCCAGCAGGGGGGTGGCACGCGTCCCGGTGTCCCCACGGGGCAGGGGACCTTGGGGACCACGTTGGTGGGGCCGATCACCCAGCGCCATCCTCGTGTCCGCAGGCGCAACCGCGCCGGGGACCGCGCGCAGGCTCTGTCAGTGCTGCTGCCCGCGGTGGAGCGCGGGGACGGGGCTGCCCCCGACCTCCTCTGCTTGTGTGGCCGCATCTACAAGGACACCTTCATCAGCTCCGGCTTCACCGACACCAGGGCGAGGGACCGAGCCTTGTACTGGTGAGGCTGGGGACAGGGCTGGGGACAGGGCTGGGGACGGGGCCATCGGCGTGCCCTTTGGGGTCTGCAGGGGGCTCTGGCAGCGCAGCCCCCACCCTTTAAATCCCCCCAGCCACAATTTAAGGGGGGATTTAACCATGATGCCAACCCCAGCAGGGTTTTATTTTTCCTCCCCTTGCGAATTTTCTTGGCCAGCCCCATATGGGACCGGATCCCATGTCACCGGGACTGGATGGGGTGGGTGGGGAGGGGGGCGCAGTGGCTGTGCTGTCCCCAGGGGCTGAGCCCTTCCCTGTGCCCAGGTACAGCAAAGCCTTCGAGGTGGAGCCCAGCCTCCACGCGGGCATCAACGCCGCCGTCCTCCTCGTGGCCGCTGGGCACCAGTTCGACAGCTCCGTGCGGCTGCAGCAGATCGGTGCGTGCCCCTCCTGGGGGGGCTGGGGACGGGGCTGTGCCATCGGGGGTCCCTGACGGGTGGCTCTCCGCACCCAGGCGTGAAGCTGAGCTGCCTGCAGGGCCGCAAGGGCAGCCTGGAGGAGCTGCGGCACTACTGGGACGTGGGCTTCTGCCTGGGGGCTGGCATCTTGGCCAACGACCTGGGCAAAGTCATCCAGGCCTCCGAGAAGCTCTACAAGCTCAACGCGCCCAGCTGGTGAGCGGCACGCCGAGTCCCTCACCCTCCTGGGGTGGGCTCGCTCTCCGTTTTGGGGGAGGATTGGGACATCCCCGTGCCCCGCAGGTACCTGGTGTCAGGTCATGGAGACCTTCCTGCTCTACAAACACTTCCAGAAGAGCCCCCCGGTGCCGTCGGCGCGCCAGGAGCTGGCTGATTTCTGGCTGGCCTTCCTCCTCGCCGCGTGCCAGCCCTTCGTCCCCTCGCCGCGCTGCCCGGTGAGATGCGCCTCCGGGGACCCCCCCGGGGGGTGGCTGTCCCCAAGGGACGGGTCGGGGGGACACGGGGTGACGCCTGCCCCGTGCTTCAGGTCCTCGTCCTGGAGCTCGGCAAGGTGCTGTGGCCGGCCCGGCTGGCGGTGCGCAGCGCCACGGAGGAGCACGCCGTGACACTCGCCCTCGTGCACCCCTCGGAGGAGGTAGGGCTGGGATTTGGGGTTGGGGGGCTCAGGGGGGGGTCCTGACAGCCCCCTCTCTCCTTCCTTCTCCTTCTCCTCCCTGCAGAAAGCGGTGTCCAGCTGGAGTTTCGCGGCCACAGACATCCGGGGGGTGAGGTGAGCACGTCCCCGGTCCCCCAAATTTGGGGGCTGCATCCTGACCCCGCTGCTGATGGAGCCTTTTTGGGGGGGGTCCTTTGCCCTCCAGCATCTGCAAGTGCGACTGAGCGGGGCTGCTTCCTCTACGTGGTGCACGCCGAGGAGGATTTCCAGCTCTATTTCCCCTCCCAGCAGCACTGCCAGTGGTGAGCCTGGGGCGGGCGCAGGGACCTCATGGTGCTGGGGGGTTTGGGGGATCCCAAACACCCCCCAGGGAGATGCGTGGGAGGACACGATTTCCCCCAAAATTTACCTTAATTTGTAGTGGAACGGGTGTGCTGGGGGGGAAAGGGGACGAGCCAGGGTGGCAAAACCCTTGCGCCATTGGGGAGAGTGGTAAGGGGGCACAGGGGGGGGGTCGGTGTCCATGTCCCCAGCATCTTTGGGGGGGGCTCAGGACCGTCCCCTCTCCGCGGGCAGGTTCTGCGAGCGGGTCCAATCCTTCCTCGCCGAGCAGGCGGCGGGCGGCGAGGATCTGCCCAGCCCCACGCAGCCCATCCTGGAGGTGAGACGGGGTTGGGGGGGGACACAGGGGGGTGGCACGGGGTGGAGGGGGGGTGACACGGCCGTCACCTCGCCCCCTCCTCTCTCCCCGCAGTACAGCTACGAGTACTCGGAGACGGGCGAGCGGGTGGTCCTGGGCAGGGGCACCTACGGGGTGGTCTACGCCGGGCGCTGCCTCAGCACCCAAGTGCGCATCGCCATCAAGGAGATCCCCGAGCGGGACAGCCGGTGGGTGCCCCAGCACCCTGCTGGGGCTGGGGGGGAGGACACCTTTGGGACCCCTGTCACCCCGCTGTGTCCCCGTTCCCCCACTCCCCGGGCAGGTTCTCGCAGCCCTTGCACGAGGAGATTGCTTTGCACAAGCGCCTGCGGCACAGGAACATCGTGCGCTACCTGGGCTCTGTCAGCCAGGACGGCTTCATCAAGATCTTCATGGAGGAGGTGCCCGGAGGTGGGCATCGCCCCTGGGGGGGCATCCACGGGGATTTCTGGGTGTCGGGGAGGGCCCCGTGGCCTCAGCATGGGTGCCGTGCCCTCCCCAGGGAGCCTCTCGTCCCTGCTGTGCTCCAAGTGGGGTCCCCTGAAGGACAACGAGCCCACCATCGTCTTCTACACCCGCCAGATCCTGGATGGGCTCAGCTACCTCCACGACAACCACATCGTGCACCGAGACATCAAGGTGAGGGGCTGGGGGCTTCACCCCTGCCTCACCCCCATCCCCAGGGGTCCCTCTGTGCCCAAACCCCCAGGGGGACGCCCGGTGGCCTTGGCTGTTTGAGTTTTTTTTGTGGTTTTTATTTATTTTGGGGTGGTTTTATTTATTTTGGGGTGGTTTTATGTATTTTGGGGTGGTTTTATGTATTTTGGGGGGCTCTTCCCACACCAGGGAGACAACGTCCTCATCAACACCTACAGCGGGGTGCTGAAGATCTCCGACTTTGGCACCTCCAAGAGGCTGGCGGGCATCAGCCCCAGCGCTGAGACCTTCACGGGTAGGGGCTGGGGGCCGGGACCCCCCCGTTGGGGTGTGGAGGATGAGGAGCTGTCGGGGTCTCACACCCAGAAATGGGGAAATTGCCCCAGAGGGGTTTGGGTGGGGGGATCTGGGCTCCTTTCCTCCCTCCCCACCTTCCCCCCAGGCACCCTGCAGTACATGGCCCCCGAAATCATCGATCAGGGTCCGTGGGGTTACGGGAAGCCGGCGGATATCTGGTCCCTGGGCTGCACCATCATCGAGATGGCCACGGGCAAGCCCCCCTTCTACGAGCTGGGCAGCCCCCAGGCGGCGATGTTCAAGGTACCCACGGCTTGGGCACGGCGCGGGGGGGTCCCCACCTCCAAAACGCCCCCAGCCAGGGCGGCCGGTCCCTCTGGACCTCTCCTCCAGGTGGGCATGTTCAAGATGCACCCGGAGGTGCCCGAGTCCATGTCGGACAAGGCCAAGACTTTCATCCTTCGCTGCTTCGAGGCCGACCCGGCCAAGCGGGCCACGGCGGCCGCGTTGCTGCAGGACCCGTTCCTGGCCAGTGCCAGGCGTGCCCGGGGCCAGGCGGTGCCTGCAGCAGGGGGTGAGCTTTTGGGGGGGGTCCTGGGGGGCTCCTGGCCAGTGGTGTCCATCAACCTGCCCCGTTTCCATCCTCTTTTTGGCAGATTCCCCCCGCCTGGAGCGCCGGGATGGGGACGCGGAGGGCACCGATGGCACCAGGGGACGTTCCTCGGCCAGGCAGGGGGGCGCAGGGGGGGTCACTGGGGGCAGCCCCCTGCTCCCACACTGCCCCAGTGAGGCAGCCCCCAGCTGCAGGTACTCGGGGTTAGGGCATCCCAGGCACCGGGAGGGTGGAGAGACCCCGTGAGGGGGCTGGATTTCTGCCTCCCCTTGGGTTCTCCCCCAGTTAACCCAGTTGGAAGAGCAGGGTGGCTTCTGGTCACCTTCAGGGTTTTCCCCCGCACTGGGAACATCGATTTGGGAGGCGGGGGGGTTGATTTCACGCCACCCCTCGCCAGCTCTCCCCAGGGCTCGGCCGGCTCCGACCGCAGCCTGCGCTCGTCCTCGCCGGAGGAGAGCGGCGACCGCTTCGTGCTGCAGCAGGACAGCAAGCGCCGCGCCACGCTGCTCCGAATCCTCACCAACGAGGCACCCAGCATCACAGCCGCCTTGCAGGAGAGCCAGGTGGGGGCACGACGGGGGGCACCGAGCGGCTGCCGGGGCCTGGCGTGGAAGGAGCAGCCCCCACACAGCCTTTTTTTATCCATCCAGGGTGCGTCGGGGACACGGCTGGGCTCAGAGCACCTCGCCCTGCTGCTGGGCTGCCTGCGGAGCTACATCCAGCGCCCCGCACGGCACCGGCTGCGCCGCGAGCTCCTGGCGCTGCAGGAGAGGCTGCGGGAGGACGGGCTCAGCCTGCCCCACCTGCGGGGTCCCCTCCTCAGCTTCCAGGCAGTGGTGAGTGCATCGGGTACGGCGTGGGGCCGGCACCGCTCCGGCATGGCGGTGGTGTGGGGGCGGTGATGGTTTGGGGGCGGTGATGGTTTGGGGGTGGCGATGGTTTGACTTTGGTGATGATTTGGGGTCAATGATGGTTTGGGGGTAGTGATGGTTTGGTGGTAGCAATGGTTTGGTGCTGGTGATGGTTTGGGATCAGCAATGGTTTGGGGTCGGCAATGTTTTGGCTTTGGTGATGGTTTCGGGTCGGCAATGGTTTGGGGTTGGCGATGGTTTGGGGTCAGTGATGGGTTGGGGTTGGCGATGGTTTGGTGGCGGTGATGGTTTGGTGGCGGTGATGGTTTGGGGGCGGCAATGATTTGGCTTTGGTGATGGTTTGAGATCAGTGATGATTTGGGGTCAGCCATGGTTTGGGGTCGACAATGATTTGGGGTCAGTGATGGTTTGCGGTTGGCGATGATTTGGGGTTGGCAATGATTTGGGGTCAGCGATGGTTTGGTGGCAGCGATGGTTTGGGGTCAGTGATGATTTGGGGTCGGCAATGGTTTGGGGTTGGTGATGCTTTGGTGCCAGTGATGCTTTGGTGCTGGTGCTGCTCTGGCATGGTGACCCTTTGGTGCCAGTGACCCTTGGTGTCAGTGACCCTTGGTGTTGGTGACCCTTTGGTGCCGGTGACCCTTTGGTGTCGGGACGGCTCTGTCCTGGCTCTGCCCCTTGCAGGTGAGGCAGGCGCTGCGCCGGCACCACGTCAAACCCCACTGGATGTTTGCGCTGGACGATGCCATCAGCCAGGCGGTGCAGGCGGCTCTCACCGTGCTCGTGAGAGGTGGGTGGCACCCGGGGGTGGCCAGGACTCGGGTCAGGGTGTCACCACTATGGCCCGGTGGGTGGCAGCCCCTTGGGGGGGGTCATTACCCCCCTCTCTGTGCCCACCCTCTGCCCCCCAGACCTAGGAATGACGGCCAGCGGGCTGCAGGAGGCTGGTGACAAGGACACAGGTGACAAGGACGACCCCACGCCGCCCAGGCTCTCCGTCCCCAGCAGCCAGACCCCATGGGACAGCACCAACAGCACCAATTCGGGGCTCAGCACCGGCCCCAGCCCCGGGGAGGGGGGCTCAGCGCTGGTGGCACAGCTCTGCCGCCTGCGCACGGAGACGGACAGGTAGGGCTTGGCACATCGCTGTGCCCCCCCGGTACCACCCCGTGTCCCCAGGAGCTGGTCTGTGTCCCCGCTCTCCCCCCAGGTTGCTCCGGGAGCTGGCCGAGAAGGAGCAGGAATGGCAGCAGCTGGTGCAGCGGGCACTTCGCTCCGGGGTTGGGGACGCCACGGTCCCCAGCCTCCCCCAGCACCGTGGTGAGCACGGCGAGGCCACCGCGGGGCAGGGTCCCTTGTCCCCATCCCCGGAGCCCGTCCCCTGTGGCCAGGCCGACCCCCTCCTCCTCGAGTGGCTGCAGCAGCACGGCACGGACCCCGCCACCACGGCCACGGTGAGGCTGTGGGGCCCCGTGGGGCTGTGCCCCGTGGGCGGTGTGGGGCAGGGCCACCGGGGCGATGCCATTTGGCCACCAATTCCCACAGCTCCTGGCCCATGGCTTCACCCTGCGGGACCTGCTGGGCAGCGCCACCCGCGACGACCTCTTCTACACGGGCATCAGGTACCCCAGGGGTGGTGGCACTGCAGGGGGGGACACGGCTCGTCCCCGGTGTCCCCCCTCCCAGCCCCGTGTCCCCCTCTTTGGGCAGGCGGGGGCCGGCGTACCGCCTGTGGGCAGCCGTCCTGGAGCAGCGCCGCGCGCTTGGCAAGGGGGGAGCGGAGCCATCCCCGGCCCCAGGGACGTGAGGTGGCTCTGGGGACACCGCCGCCACCTCGCCGCTGTCCTGTGCCACCACGGGGAGCGGCAGGAAGGACAATTTGGGGACATCCAGGATGGAGGAGGCAGGCTGCAGCGCTCGGAGCAATAAACACCCAGCAGCCGTGCCGTCCGCTGCCGCTTCATTGCAGCCAAAAGTGCAGGGAGGGGAGGGGGGGCGCAGACCCCAGCCCCTACGCGGGGTTCGTTGGGGAGCTCAGTCCTGTCCCCCCCCCGCCGAAACTGTCCCCGGGGGGTGGGAGCTATGCACGGGGGACGAGGTTGGTCCTCAGGGGCAGCAGCGCTTCCACCCAGCAGCCGGGCTGCTGCAGCAGGCGGCCCCACACCGCGCGCTCCTCCGGCGTCGAGTCCATCCAGCCCACGGGCAGCCCGTAGCTGCTCCCTGCGGAGACACAGCCACCGTCACCCCCCCCTCCCTTAACCACCCCCACCCTGGGGTGCCCAGACCCCCTCCCCACAGCCCTCACCGGTGCCCAGGCTGAGGCGCACGCCGCCCAGCTGCCTCTTGGAGAAAGCCTCGTGGTGCCAGAGGGTGAACTCGGCGCACGCCTCGGCCAGGTCCTTGGGCTGGAAGCCGTCGTACACCATGGTGTGGTTGAAGAGGGGGCTGAGGCTGCGCTTCACCACCCGCGTCTTCTGCCGGCTCGCCTTGCTGTCGTCGGGCAGCACGTAGCTGGGGGGAGCGGGGTGAGCAAGCCTGGCCCCGTATCCCCAAGGGGGGGGTTATTTACGCCCCCCTTTTTCTCTTACCACTGCACGAAGGCGTCCACGGTGCTGCCCTGCAGCGGGACCAAGCCCTGCGCGTCCTTCACCCAGATGTGCAGCTCACCCGTGGGGGGCAGCCCCGCTCCTAGGGGTCAGATAGGGTCAGGGTCGCCCCATTCCCATGTCCCCATCCCCACGTCCTGTCCCGTTCCCCTTGGTGTCACCACTCACCTTCGGAGCCGGCGGGGATGAATTTCAGCGCCAGGTTGAGGTTGCCTCGGCTGGAGAGACCGTCCGGGGCGAAGGGCGTCTGGGGTGGGGAGGGAGCAGGGTTATGGGGGGCTGTAGGGGAGGGGATTTGGGGTTCGGGGCAATGTGGGGCTCACCCGGGGCTGCAGGGTGAACCACTCGGGGCGCGTGTTGGCCCAAGTCCCAGGCGCCCAGCGCGATCTCCACCTCGCCCAGGAAGAGATTCCTGCCCAGGCTGTCGTGGTGCCACACCGACAGGTTCAGCGTCCGGCCCTGCAGGTCCCTCTTCTCCAGCTTGTACTGGTGAGGATGGGAGGGGAGCACAGCAGGGTGAGGGTGCGAGGTCTGCAGGACCCCCCCCACAGAACCCCAACCCCTGGAAAGATCCGAAAAACCTTGAGGGTCTCGTTGAAGATGGGGTCCAAGCTCCGCTTCCGCACCGTGGTCTTGCGCTTGCTGCGGTTGGACTTGTCGGGGAGCAGGTAGGTTTTGATGTACCTGCAGCCCGAAAAACGAGCTGTGAAAAGGGTGGGGGGGGGGCATAAAGGGATCCGAAGCCCCCTCCCAAGTAGCCCCCTCACTCACGGGTCCGACCGCTGCTTCTTGGCCTCGGCCAGCTCTCGGCAGCGCACCACGTGGACCTGCAGCTCCTGCGTGGCCGGCTCGTAGCGCAGCGAGAACTGGACGCAGCCCCGCACGGGCACCCTGCCCAGCTCCCCGTCACTGTACAGGCTCATCAGGCTGCCGCTCAGCTGCGGGGTGGGGGGCATGGGGTCAGGTCCCAGGGGCACAAAGCACTGAGCCCCCCCCAAGCCCTTCCCCAGCACCCCGCAACCCCGTACCGTGGAGGAGCTGAGGCTGGACACAGGAGGAGCTGGCGGTCAGCAGGCTGCTGGGGGGCACGTGGCCGTTCTGCGGGGACGCACGGCCTGGTGGGGGGGTCCCCGGCCCCTGGGGAGGTAAAACAAAAGGGTTCTGAGCCATTGGGGGGGTGGTGACCCCCCCCCCAAACAGCTCAGACCCAGTGCAGGCACCCAGGGCACCCAGAGCCTGGCACTTGGGCACAGCTCAGGCTGCTGGGGGAACCCAGTGAAGTGCTGGTTTGTGCTCCCCATACAGCCCCCCCAGCCTCATACAACACCCCCCCAACCCCTATAGCTCCCCCCCAGCCCCATATAAACCCTGCAGCCCCATACAGCCCCCTCCAGCCCCATACACCCCCCCCATAGCCCCATACAAACCCCCCAGCCCCATACAGCCCCCCCCAACCCCATACACCTCTCCCAGCCCCATACACCCCCCTCCCAACCCCATACAGCCCCCCCCAGCCCCATACAGCCCCCCCCAACCCCATACAGCCCCCCCAGCCCACCTGCCCAGCCCCAGGGCTGCTGCGGGCAGGATCAGGCTCCTCCTCCTCATCTTCCTCCACGGTGGCCGTGCCGAAGGGGTTCCCGTCCACTCTGTCACCTGCAAGGACACAGTGTGGGGGGGGTGATCCCTTTTCCCCCCACCCCAGCAGCACCAAAGCTGTGCCCCACAAGGCCAATTGGCAGTGTGGGGGGTGTCCCAATCCCCCTGCACCCCCCCCCCCACACGTTACCTGGGGGTCCCTGCCCATCCTGCTCCCTCTCTGGGACCTCCACCTGCTGGTGTCGGTGTCCCCGGTGTCCCCTCCGGTGCCGGGGCTGTGGGGCCAGGCTGTTTGGTGGCACGTTGGGGACAGGGTGAGACGGGGCACAGCGGCACCCTCCTGTCCCCTCTGGGTCACCAGGACAGGCCGGGGGGGGTCAGGCCATGCCCCGTGCCCCGTGCCACATCCTTTGGGTTCGTCCCCAGCCCCTCAGCGGGGCATCGGGTCGGGCACCCACCTGGGGCTCTGCCTGGGCTCCGTCCTCAGAGGGGCTGCGAGGAGAAGCACAAATTAATTTTTCTTGCCATGACAGCAAGCCCTGGAGCACCCATGGGTGCTGCCCCCCCCCCCCCCCCCTCACACCCTCTCTCACCTCTCCTCTGTCACCGCCACCTCCTCGTCCTCTTTCTCCTCCACCAGCGGCTCGCCGATTGCCTCCAGCTCGCCCAAGCTGGGGCCACGCTCCGGGTCCCCTGCTCCTTGGGGACAGGAAGGGGGGGGCTCAGAGGGCCGTGGCTGTGCCCCCCCTATTATCCTCCCCCCTAAACCCCATCCCTGCCTACCCCGTGGCCGCCTCCTGCGGCGGATGGAGGCGCGGACGAGGTCAGAGCCCAGGTGGTGCCGGTGGCGCTGGGCGCGCACGTCGCAGAACCAGTCCCCGGTGAGGGTCCGCAGCCGGGCCGGGTCTGACACCGACTTGCGCAGCTTGCTGGTGGCATTGGCCAAAAAAAAACATCCCCCCCGGTCACCCCCAGGTGCCAGCAGGGTCCCCGTGCCACCTGTGCCACCGTTCCAAGTAGCCATGGGGCCACCACGGCGAGGACACCAGCACCCATCTCCCACGGGGTTTGGTCCCCGATGCCCTCATCACCCACTGGGGGGGTTTCACCCTGCCATGGGGAAGGGACTGTGCTGTCCCCAAGGACGTCTCACCCTTGGTGGGGTCCCCATGGGTGCCTCTATGAGGGATTTGGGGGATGGGGGGGCTCACCTGATGCGCCCCTCCTCGCGCCGGCGGAGCTGCGAGTCCCGGCGCAGCACCTCGGCGATGGCACGGCGCTCGTCCTCCGTCAGGAAGCTCAGGTCCAGCAGCGCCTCGGCGCCCAGCTCCAGCGCCATGGGTGCTGGGAGCACCCATGGGTGCGGGGTCAGGCTGAGGGGGGGCGGCGGGCAGGGCTCAGCATGCCGGGGGGGGCTCAGCGGGGCCGGGTGAAGGGCTGCGGGGTGGCGGTGGGGTGGGCAGCGCGCAGCATCCTGACCCTCTGCGGGGAGACGGGGTGGTAGTGTGGCACGCAGGGACCCTCATGGCACGGAGCATGGCCCCCCCACCCTAAATAAGCTTCAGGGGAGCCAGGGGGGGACCAGCAAAGGGTGGTGGGGGCACCCGGCAGCAGCCGCAGGGAAGAGTTGCTGCTCCTCCTGCTGCAGCCCCGTGCCAGGGCCAGCCCTCTGTTTGCCAAGGGCGTTCGCTCGGGGCCGGCTTCTTCCCTTCCCTGCTCCCAGCAGGGCCCCACAGCGGGGTTCCCGTGGCGCTCAGCGGGTGCCAGGGCACGGGGACGGGTGACACGGGGGGGCTCGGGAAGCCAGCACCCCCCTCGGGTCCGTCCCAGGAGGGCTGAGAACGTGCCCAGCTCATCACACAGTTGCCTCACCACCCTCCTTCCTGGCCCGGAGTTGGGAAAGCGCTGCCCGGCACGGGAAATTGCAGCAACGGTGGGGCAGGATCAGCCCCCCCACACCCCAAAAATCCCCACCCCAGGGCCCCATCGGGACGCGAGCACCGGCATGGCCGCACCCCGCGGGCACCCCGGGGGATCCAGCCCTGTCCCCAGCCCCGCGGGTGGCCCTGGTCACCGTGTCCCAGCCCCACAAGTGGCCCTGCCACCCCGGGGGGGGGTCCCTGGTGACCCCCAGCAGGGCCAGGCGCTGGGGAGCCCAGGTCAGGACCCAGCAGGGTGGTGCTGGGCGCCCCGGTGCCGGCGAGGAACCAGGTGCCAGCGACCACCACCACCCCGGGGACCTTCCACAGCTCATACCGGGCACCGTGACAGCACCGGGGACCCACAGCACCACCGGGACCCCCCCCCAACACCCCCATCCCCACCCTGTCCCAAGGGGGGGGCACAAAACCCACCGGCAGCCTGCGCAGAGCCGAAGCCACCCGGTGCCCCCTCGGTGCCACCGAGCGGTGCCGGGGGCGAGGAGCTGGCACCGGGACGGGGCGATGCTGGGGCCCCCCCCAAACCCGTATCCTGTTTACATGGGCCCAGCCCGCGGGGGTGTCCTTGTCCCCCCCCCCCCGCCCCCCCCGGAACACAGCAGCACCCAAAATGTCACCGAGGGCTGGCCCACGCGCGCTTGCGGTTTCCTTGCCCCTCAGAGACACCCGGGGAGGGAGGGGGGGGAAGCGCAGGAGGGGGGCAACAGGAAAAAAAAAGCCAGCCCCACACCCACCGGTGTGCAAGGGGGTGCTGGGAACCCCCCCCCCCCCCCAGACACACAGACACAGGGGAGACCAGTTAAACCAGTCAAACCTCCCCAGTAAGCCGCAAGATGGGGGTGCGCAGCCCCCGTTCCCCTTCGCAAGCCGCGATGCATGGGGTGAATGCAAAGGGCCCCCTCCCAAAATGCAGCCGAGCCCCCCCCCCCGGGCTGGCAGCCCCCTTCTGGCACCCCCCCAGCCCCCCCACCTGCACCCGGGGCCCCACAGCCCATCACCGTGGCCTCGGGGCCCATCCAGCTCAACCCACACCTGCAGGGCTCCCAACGGAGCAGGCAAAAAATCCACCCAAAATGGGGGCTCCTGGGGCCCCCCCAAAGCAAAGAGCGAAATTCAAAGGCTGCAGCCCCTCCGTGAGAGCAGCCAGACCCCAAATCCTACCCCCAGCCCCCATTTCCCGTGCCGTGGGGCCGGTAACGGGGTCACCCCCGCGCCCACCCTTACCTGCCCAGGGGATTTTGTGGGGCCATGGACCCCCAGCCGTGGTTCGTGCCCCCCCCACCCCGAGCCCCCACGGGGACCCTCGGCTCCAGGGGTGCCCCCCGAGCCCCCGCTGGGTGCTGGAGGCCCTAAAGCTGAGTCAACCGCAGGCGAGAGCAAGGCGCCTCCTCGCCTCGGCGGCACGAAAGCAGGGACTGGAGCCAGCAGCACCCGCCGGACGGGACTGGGCTGCACTGGGTTGAACTGGGCTGAACTGGGAGGCGTCAGGAAGCCGGGGAGAAAGGGAGAGCCCGAAAGGAAAGGGGGGAAGCAGCGGTGCTGGGGTGGGTTGGAGGGGATGGGATGGGGCAGGGGGAGCCGTTCCCAGCCAGGGGGGGAGAATGGGGAAGGATGCGCCCCCCCCCCAGCAGGGAGCCTTACCTGGCCCCACCTTGAGCTGAACTGGGAGGAACTGGGAGGAACTGGGGGGGACTGGTGTGAGACCCTCCCTCCCCGCAGTGCCCTGCAGCACCCCAAAACCCAGCGTGGGGCAGTTTGGGGTCCCAGGGGGGGCTGCAGACCCCCCCCAAATCCCATAGGGCTCCCCCACCCCATGGGCACCCCCAGCCTCCAGCCCCCCTTGGCACACCTTCAAGGCTCGGGGGGGGTCTCCCACCTTGGGGGGGGGTCTCCCCTTCAGGAACCCCCCCCCCTGCGCTCAGCCCCGCGCAGGATCAGGCCGGGCGCATTAGGGGGTGCCGAGCTTATTTTTGGTGAGGTTCCTGAGGAAATGGGGCTGCAGCGAGGGCCCTGTCTGTGTCCGTCTGTCTGTGCCCGTCCGTGTCCGTCTGTCTGTCCGCTGTCCTCCCCTTGTGGGGTGTTCGGGGCAAACCTCGAGGCTGGGCACCCTCCCCGTGTCCCTGTGTCCCCCCCCTCATTGCGCAGGGGATGCTCCGAAACCACCGCGGGTCCCTGCTGGCACCGAGCCCCCTGCGTGCGTCCCCCCAGCACCAAAACCCCCCCGGGGGGGTGCTGAGGCTGCCCTAGAAAAGGACAGGGCAGGATTTGGGGTGCTGATCCTGGTTTGGGGGTGACCAGGGGTGACAAATTTGCTGGCTCTCGCTGTAGCCTCCCCCCGCAGCGTGCCCGGGGGCTGGTGACACCCGGCCACCCCCAGGGGACAATTTTCTTTGCACCCCCAGGATTGAACCCACCCGCCACCCAAAGGGACCAGCACCCACGCGGGGTTTTGCCCCGATGTCCCCACTTGTGGAGGGGCTGGGGGGGGCACCCAGCGCAGGAGCAGCTCCTTTGGGTGCTGGGTGCCGGGTGCTGGGTGCTGGCAGCCCCCCCGCGGGCACCCAGAACAGGCTCGGCTCATTTCTGCTCCCACCCACGTGCCCAGCCCCGGACCCGTTCCTTGGGTGCGCCAGGCGTGGGTGAGCCCTGGGGGGGGGGAAACTGAGGCAGGGGGTAGAGCTGGTGGGTTTGGGGCTCCTCACCAGGAGAGGGCAGGGGGCAGCACCCCACGGGACCCCCGGCCTCAGAAGGGGGGAAATCGGGGTGTCAGAGGCAGCTCTGGGGGCTGAGTGCTGTGGGGAGCGCAGCAGGATGTGGCCCCTCCCTGGGGATGGAGTTGGGGATGCAGGGACTGGAGCTGAGCACCCCAGAGTTGGGGGATTTTTGTGCAGTTTTAATTTTTTTCACCCATGCAGGGATGTCGCAGAGGTCCCACCCTCGGCTCCAGCTGGGGGCAACAAGTGGGGGGGGGACCCTGCGCTGCGCCTGCTCCCCCCTTGCCGAGGAACGAAACAGATGGGCGGGGACCGAGCACGACAAGGGAAGCCCTAAGGGGGGGTAACCTGGCCCTAAGGGCAGCCCAGGCCCCGCTGCTGGCATTTGGGAAGCTCCAAAGATGCAAATGCTGAAGTGCTGCTTGAGATCAGACCTCGGTGGGGGGGGTCCTGTGATGTGGCCCCCCCGTGCAACCAGCTGCAGCCAAGTGACCCCACTCCAAGGTGGCCCCAGTGCCCCATGTCCCCATAGGGACATTGTTGGGGGGACATCGGGGGCAGTGGGGGCTGCTGGGGCCCTGGGAGCCCCCTGCACCCAGGCAGGGAGATGGGTGACACCAGCCTGACCCCCCCTCGGTGCCAGCATCAGCACCCCCCCCGTGGTGAGGGGTGGGAGACAGTCGTGGGCCTGCCGCCAACCACCGCACCCACAGTGCATGGAGCAAAAAGGGGTGAGAGACCCCCAGCCCCACACCCAGGGCAGGGGATTTGGGGTCCTGGACTCGTCTCAGCACCCCCAGCCCCCCTCCAGCAGCTCGTGGGGCGAGGGAAGCCACGGGGGCTCCGAGCTTTGAGGAGCTGGGGGGCGAAAAAAACCCAGATAGTGCGAAAAGAGGGATGCCAAACATCAGGCTGCGTGGAGGGAAGTTATTCACAGCTGAATGAGATAAACCTACAAGGGGGGGGGTACCAAAAAGCATCCTCCTCCCTAGGTGCTCGGCTCTCTGCCTGCTCAGGGCCACGCAGGGCTGCGCTGAGCTGGCAGGGGGTTAGGGACGAGCCCAGCACAAGGCAGGGACCCTTCCCCTAAAACCTTTCCCCTAAACAAAGGCCCGCAGAAGGGCCCTGGCTCTCGGAGCCCTGGCATTAAAGCTCTGGCACGGCGCGGGCTCTGCCTGCACTGCAGCAAAGGCTTCCAGCTCTGCAGCAAGCGGCTCCCAGCGCCATCCCCTCCCCAGCTCCCCCCCCCCAGCTCTTCCCGACAGCAGCTCTGCAAACAGGACCGTGACTTCTGGCCACGCAGCAAGGGCAGCTCTGTGAAATGAAAGGCGCGGGGGCCTTCCAGGGCCAGCTCCTCGCGCTGCCCGCAGGCAGGAGGCTGCAGATCAGGAGGTCGAGGGGGGGGGGAAAAAGCTGAGCCTGCTTCTGAAGGAGAGAAGCCTCGACAATAAGAGAAGGCACCTGGAGACATCCACAGAAATAAGTTTATTTCCCCTACCGTCAGGATTATGAAACCACAGAAGCAGAGTTTAAATATTTACAAAGTAATCCAGCGCCCCACAGAGATCAAGAGAACAAAGGAAGAGGGTACGCAGGGGCTGGCCCTCGCCGAAGAGCACGGCAGAGCCACGGAGCTCTGCAGCATGAGCACGTGCAAAGGGGAAAGGAGGGGACCAGAAAAGCGCCATCAGGGAGGAAAGGGACAAGGGGGGAACCTTTAGGAGGCCACGGGCAAGGAGCTGGCAGGTGAGATGAAGGCAGCTGCAAGGAAAGCACGTCCCTCACCCACCCACCCACCTCCCAGCCCGCTCTCCCCACGCATCGCCCGTCTCCCCGCGCTCCCGCAGCGCCGGCGGTGTGGTGGAGCAGTAAATCTGCCCAGCCCACAGCCAGCCGCTCTGCAGGAGCCCTCCTGCAGGCACAGGGAGGCCAGCGAGGCTGCTGGGGCTGGCTCCGTGCTACCTCTGCTGCAAACCTTGCTGTGGAGCCGCCCGTGCTCCCTCCTGGTGCCCGGAGCCGTCCTGCCCTGCTGGCGGTCGAGGTGCAGGGGAAGCAGCTCCGCAGCCCGAGGTCCCGCAGGGCTCGTTTGCAGGGTAAGAGCCTCCGTTCAGAACCACAGATCTGGTTAAAAAATAAAAAAATACAAAGCACGGGGAGCAAACGAGAAGGATTTTCACGGTGGGGAATGGCACTCGGCACTTTCCGAAGTCCCGGGAGCAGGGATCGTGGCCAGCAGCCCCGCTCCCGGCCTCCCCTGACACCTCGGAGTCTCAGCTTTGGCAACGCTCGTCTAGCTTATCGCTGAAACACTGCAGCAACGTGTGAGACAGCCCCAAGAGTCTCTGGGTTATTGCTACTGCGTAAGACAGGTTGGCTTCAGCCCTGGGGCCGGGGACTCCCAGCGCATCCTTGGCAGGACATTGAGGAATCACGCTAAAATGACAAACTGGGGCAAAGGACTGATCCCTCCCGTTCCACTGGCTTGTCCTGGGGCACGGCAGCCACCCCGCCGCGCAGCGACGCTGGGCAGCTCCGTGAGATTCCATCTTTTCCTTGCAAGGTTCTCTTTGATCCAGGTTTTGGCTTTCTAATTGGCCTCAGCACCCTCCAGCCCGCTCTCCGCTCGGGTTTAAAGGACTGCACGCAGGAGACGCCGCCTGCTTCAGCTCCAGGCACGTGGGGAAGGGCAGCGAGGAGCTCCCACCCCGCCAGGCCAGCACCAGGTGACAAGGACAACTGGGTGCTAGGGAGAACGGAGAGGTTTAAGGGGCTATTTAAGTGTGACCGAGGAAGAAATGAAGAATTCAAGAAGCCCAAGAGCCCCCAGCCCCCCTATAGAGCTAGGGGGG